AAGGGGAGGGGAGAAGAAAGGAGCAGGAGAGCCGGAGCGAGGAAGGCAGGAGAAAGAGAGTCAGCTGCAAAAGGTCCAGCAGCATTGCTGCGCAGCGAGCAGATCTCGGAGATCGACATGTCAGCGAGAGTGGAAGTGATGTGCCAGGAGTGACGGCTGCTGCTGCCGACACCATCGCCGAGGCGTGCTTCCAAAATGGCTGCTGAGGGTGGCAGGGGCCATCGCTGCCGGGCTCGATGGAGCCAACAAAAGGCCAGGTTCTGCTGGCCGCCGGATCAGAACAGGGTGAAGGAAAAGGCAGGAGACACAGTCAGGGGAAGGATGGGAAGGGTGTTTCCGAGGATGGAGATGTGCTCTTTAGGTCGTCCCGACTTGCAGTGGTGCCGGGATTGGGGTGAGGGTTCAGCAGCGCGGAAGAACTGGAGTTTGAAGTGGTGGTGGGTTGGAGGAGGAGGAAGAGCACAGGGACCTCGGCTGACACCCCCACGACAACTCCAAGGGACGGCAGGGGCCGTGGTAGGAGTGATGCTCAGGAAGGTGGTTTACAGGAAAGGCCGCAGGTTGCAAGCGAAGGAAGAAAACGAGCCCGTAAGCTGAAGCATGAAGGTAGGAGTAGGCACAAGGAAGGGATGACTGAGAAACCAGTGTTAGGTGAACCAGTGTCAGGAGGTGGCGCCATGGATACTAGGAGAGCTCCACTGTGGTGAGGGTGTGGGTGGTTCCAGGGCTGGCGTTTTGCCAGTCACGCCAAATGTTCCAGTTGCCAGCTCTGCACCTGCTTCTGCACCGCCACCACCAGGAAGAAGTGGTGGCAAGCATTTGTACGATTCACCTGATGGTCGAGGGATGGGCAGGCCGGATAGCACAGGAGTTGTGTCTCGGATGAATGATGATGCAGAGATTGATACATCATGGGATCTTTTAGATGTCTTGATGAATGCAGGGGTATCCCTGCCACTGCCTTCGCGAAGTAACGGCAATCGGCACCGCACACAGTTTTGATCTTTTTTTGGGTTGCGAAGCAACCCTTTACGATCGATTTTGACAATTTTTTTTTCATGATTTTTTTTTTAATAAACCATGAAAATAAAATTCGTCAGCTACAGTACGACCCTTCCCATTGTGCATGTTGAACAGTATTGGTAGCTGTCTTTGTAGTACCAGTTACGTGCATATTATATGTTGGTATTATATCTTTTATTGTTTGATATGTTGTGATAAATGTTGTGAATACTAGTAATGAATTACACGCCACGCATGCTTAAATGGATGTAATGATGAGACATGATATATAGATGCATACCTAATACTGTTACACCGCGTGAAAAATGCTTTTGTGTATGCATATGATAGCTGAATGCACCACACCAGTATATCATACAAATGCGTGATAGTTAACGACCCAAAAACTAGGCTACCGCATCCCCTGCCTAGCATGGGGGGGAAGTCAATAGCAAAGTCTTTGAATAATCAACTAGCACATGAAACAATACAATCTGTTAACTCTAAAAAAGAGGTTCACTCTATCAAATCCAGTTCGAAGTGGCAAACACACGAGTCACTGAGTGCGCCAATGAACCAATGAGAAATGATAGAAATGAACCCCTTTTTAAAATTAACAGACATGCATTGTTGATGCAATGATGAACATAAAAAAAAAAAAAAACACATACATGCACACAATGACGCATACGTACATACACACGAAGGCAAACTACCGCATACAAATGCACAACGATAAAGACAAGTAGGAAGAAATGAAAACAGAAGATGCAAAATTTATGAACACCACCTAAATCAAATTTTACAATTCAACATTTCTCAATCGCTTGGCTCAATCATAAGGTACTTAATCTGGCGTACGCGCAACCTGGTGAAGAATAAAACAACTATCACAAGATGAAGAAAGGAAACGAGTAGAAGGGACGAGCAGCGAATACGGTGAAAGAAAATCAACCGAAAGGAAGAAGCAGAGAAAACAAGAAGAATCATGAATGGATTCAAAAAGAGAGAGAGAGGACGACAGAGAGAGAGGACGAGAGAGAGAGGACGAACGAGAGAGAACGAACGAGCGAGAAAGAACGAACGAGAGAGAGAGAGAGAGGAGAGAGAGAGAGAGAGAGAGAGAGAGAGAGAGAGAGAGAGAGAGAGAGAGAGAGAGAAGAGAGAGAACGAATGAGAACGAGAGAACGAAGGAAACGAAGGAGAGAGAGGAACGAGAGAGTGAAAACGAGAGAGAGAACGAACGAGAGAGAGAGAAGAGAACGAGAACGGGAGAGGAAGAACGAGAACGAGAAAGAGAGAGAACGAGATAGCGAGAGAGATAGAACGAGAACGAGAGAGAGGGAACGAGAGAGAGCGAACGCGAGAGAGAAACGAGAGTGAGAGAACGAGGGAGGGAGAACGAGAGAAAGAGAGACGAGAGAGAGAGAGAGAGAAGAGAGAGAGAGAGAGAGAGAGAGAGAGAGAGAGAGAGGAGAGAGAGAGAGAGAGAGAGAGAGAGAGAGAGACGAGTAGAGAGAGAAAGAGAAAGAGAACGAGTGAGAGAGATCGAGAGAGAGAGAATATGCTCCTACCTAGTGAACTAACTCTCTGAACAGAATTGTAAAGATCTATTCAAAATTCCATTAAGGTGGAGGAAGAAATCAAGAAACAGCGTATGGAAGAAAACAAGAGTAAGAGCAGGAGCTGAAAAGAGCAAGCACGACCAATGTAAATCGGAAAAAAGGAGAGCGGAAGATGGGAAGAAGTGGAGAGAAGCAGAGGGAAGGAGAGAAGAAAAGTACGGTGCATAAACTAGGAAGAAAGCGAGGTTAAAAAACGAAAACGAATGGCAGAAGCTAGGAAATACCGGTAGAACCTCGAAACGGTTTTCAGGCAAGGAATCGACCTACCTGAATAGGTCGAAATCTGCAGCAGCTTCTAACACGGCGTTAGGTAAGACATCTAACATACCTACTAACCTACTTTCGGAGTAGGTCGTAGGCATAAGCGAAGAGAAGCTGAAGCTTACCTAACCAAGGAAGCTAGCTGAGGTGAGCTAGCGCCAAAACGAGAGCAAGGACCAAGGTGAGCTCCCACAAGCATAACGGGAAAAACGAAGAGGAGAAGAATGAAACCCTAGATGTTGTGCTGCCAAATATCAAAAAATGGATAGATAATTAAAAAGCTTTTGATGAACATGACTCAATGTCCTAGCGAGTAGAGTTCGGTTTCGGGGTAAGGAGTGCTAGGGTTCGAATCTTGCTTACGGAAGATCCGTTTTCACTTGCCTCTGCTGATCTGATTTTTGCAAATTGAAGAGAATACTCTGTTACATAATTCTTGAGTAGTTAATTTTAAACAACTAAACAAAATGTTCAATTCCCTTTTCACAATTTGCAGGTAAGATAACAGTGAGGTTGAAATTGAAATCTATTATTGAGATTGAAACTGAGAGACTAGATTCTTGCTCATACGAAGCATCGCTCGTGCTAATATTTATCTTGATTGAAACCTAAGACAATGCCATCGTTATAGAGCGATTGTGGCGACCTGTAATGGCGCATGTTTACCAGTGTTGCTTCGCAACCCTAAGACGATTTCGTCGCCTCTTGTTTTTTTTTCCTTGATTCCTTTCACTTTCAGTTTTCTTGTGTGATGTGCTGGCTGTATATAAGTTTGCGTTGGTGGATCCATTGAGCTTGTAACGGCGAGGTCTTGTGTCTAAACGGGATGTTTGCGAATCCCTCCCTGCCATTGCTTTTTGTCCGAATTTTGCCAGCTCGGACGCGGCAGATTCCCGAGGATGATTGTTTTGGAAATCGAAGGGTGACCGGATGAAAAATATGGGAGAACAAGGATACAGTATGGAAAATCTATTTGTACTCTCAGGACTCATTTACTGTTTAGCTAATAACCCCATAATGTTCGCCCTAAACAAATTTGATGGACACGCTGTGTTGGCTGAGAAGGTCGGGCTGACGATAGCACAGCATCTGTTCTTTTGACGTCGTCGCTGAATGATAGTTTTTTTTCCAACTCTCAACATACCTTGGCGTTTACCGACTGCAAGTGTGCGATGTGCTCCATCAACACGAACGAATTTGGACGTTTTCTTTGGTGTCGGCGACAAGATACCTGTCACTCGGTTTTGTTTTGCTTGCCCTCATCGCTCCGTCGGTTTCGCTAATGGCCATGGCTGCTCGCAGCCTTCTTGGATTCGCGGAGGAGGCAGAATGGCTGCATGCAACAGCATCAGGCTGGCTGCTAGGAAACAAGTGGTTGCACTTCGGCTGCCCAACCTTATCGCTTCCGAGACATGCTAAGAACCGTCGATAAGATTTGCGTCAAGCATTACATACCGTAAGATCAGACCTTGATTTCTTCAGTCAATTTTCTGGTTGGCCATCGTCGGCCAAGCCAAAACCCATTCCCAAGAAACTCCAACCCCGCTTTCTCTCGCTGCAGCAAAACAGTTTTAAGCAACACATAGTTTCCGCGTAACTGGCATCCCCATGCGCGGACTCAGCGCCCATTTGCGCACCATCCCAAATCCCTCTCTCGCAAAACTCCGTAGTGAAGGCATCGAGATCTTGACCTTTTCCTAAACTTCAAAAAAACATACGTCTGTGCATCGCCATTGGTGCTCATGATCCTTCACCTTGACCGTAAGGGAAGGGGCAGAAACTCCAAAACCATCGGGTTCTCCAGAGCTCCCCCATACGCGCACTCATCGCTTCCAAACGAAACCCTCGGCGCAAGGTAACCAGGCGGCGCTTGGACAGCCCCTCGGGGTCATCCATCGTGTGCGGTGAAATCAAAAGTCGTCGTGCTGCAGGGGGAGGGCGGGCCAGAGAAGCAGCCAAAAGGCTGTGAGGCTGGTCGAGGGGAGCCAGAGTTCTTCTGTCCTGTCCTGTCTTTCTCCTGTCCTCAACTCCTGGCTTCTTCCTGTGCTGTTCTCCCGTTCTTGTCGTCGTCCTTGGACCCACCCCTTCCCTGTTGGTACCGATTGCTGTTTGCGCTAGTATCCGATTCCAGCTAGAGAGAAGCCAATCTGCTGTTCGGCTTTCTTTGTTCAAACTTGACAAGCTGGACAAAGCCGCTTCGCACCCATCCGTTGATTTTTGGTACGCCCTTTCATAAGTAGCGTAACCCTTGCCGTATCCATGTCCATTAGAACAAAATGCTTTTCAAAGCACCTTCACGTCTTGCCGATATGCTCTGTCTTCCTGCGCTTTTCTGCGTCCCCATTTGTGCCTACGGCAGTCCTGCTTTATTTCTTCTTCTCGCATTGATAGTTCGCGTGTTGTCTTGATCCGATTTCCCATTGCGTTTATCCCTGTTTTCTTAACGCGTCCATTGTTTTCCAGATCTGGATTCCCGCTGCAAGGAGCACTTCTGACAATAGCAACTTGCTCCAAAATATAAGCTATCATCTTGGAAAGTCAAGGTCCAATGTCGCTTCCTCCAAAGGCGCTGACGATTCAGCTCCCACCGAACCAATTTGACGACGATGCGGGAGGCGGCAGTTCGTCTGATGGCAGCGGCGCTGACGGCGTGGCGAAGAAGGAAGAGGAGACTCAGAACGCGGGCACGCCCAGTGGTTCATTGAAGCGCAAGCGCAACCTTCCTGGAAACCCAGGTACGGCATTTGACGCGTAATAATCAACGACAACAACAGTTCGTTTTTCTTTTCAAACTTTGTATGGAAGCTGAGTCTGCTTCTATGTGCAGATGCTCCTCCTCGTGTCGCTTAATGCTTTCGATGATACCTTTTCTTAACCAAGGTTTCTCTCTCCGGCTTCTCATTTCTCTTCTCCGTTCTGTCCGTTATTCCCTCCCGTTTTTCTTCTTTTGTTTATTCTCAGATCCGGACGCGGAAGTTGTCGCTCTGTCCCCGCGCACGCTTCTCGCGACCAACCGGTTCGTGTGCGAGATCTGCAACAAGGGCTTTCAGCGCGACCAGAACCTACAGCTGCACCGCCGCGGCCACAACCTCCCTTGGAAGCTCCGCCAGCGGACCACGCAGGAAGTGCGGAAGAAGGTGTACGTTTGCCCGGAGCCCACGTGCATCCACCACGACCCGTCCAGAGCGCTCGGAGATCTAACCGGGATAAAAAAACATTTTTGCCGCAAGCACGGCGAGAAGAAGTACAAGTGCGAAAAGTGTTCCAAGAAGTACGCAGTGCAGTCGGATTGGAAGGCCCACATGAAGACGTGCGGTACTCGCGAGTACCGATGCGATTGCGGGACCCTCTTTTCAAGGTAATATATTCGGCCCTTTTCATTTCAACTTAACCCGCCTTCCCCCCGCCCTTTCCCCCCCCCCCCCCCCCCCCTCCCCCTTCCCCCCTCCCCGCCCTCCTCCTCCCCTCCCATCGATTTCTTTTTTTTGCGCGTCGGTTTTGGCTTTTCTTAACATCCTCGTCCGTTTCTTTCTTCTCACGGGAATCCCATTATCTCTTAACTTCGCTAAAGCCTTCGTGTTTTATTTCCTTGGTTATCCTCTCCGCAGGCGCGACAGCTTCATAACGCACAGAGCTTTCTGCGACGCGCTCGCGGACACAGGCCCCACCAGCGTTAAACCCGAGCCTGGCGACTCCGCTGCTACAGGCACCGGCCCCGGGAGCGTCGGCGGACTGAACCACAAAGGAGCGGGGTTTGAGGGGGACACGATGCGAGGCGCTGCCGTCATGTTCGGTGATGACGTCACGAAAGCCGCTGCTGCTGGCGCGGCTCTTTTGCCAAGTCAGCAGCAAAATTTCCAGGCGGGGCTGCAAGGGTCGCAGCAGCAAGGCTCTCAGCAGCAGTTTTCGTCGCAGGAGTTTGCGGACTTGGTTAGCCGAGCCATGAACAAGCAAGGGGGGGGCGGTATGGGGTTGTGGCTCGGCCAGGGATCCAACAACAACGGAGGGCAGAATCAGGGCATGACGCCGCAGCAGCAGATGCTGCAGGCTGTGAGTCAGGGAGGTTTGAACCCGAGCGCTCTTCTTGCGGCGATCAACAATAGTGGCGGTAGCATGGCGAGCCTGCTGGCTGGTGCCGGAGGTGGCTCCCTCGGGGAAGCGGCAGCGCTACTGCTGCAGCAGAATCAGCAGAACCAGCAGCAGCAGCAGCAGCAGCAGCAGTCAGACCAACAGCAGCAGTTGTTGATGCAGCAGCAGCAGCAACAACAACAGCAACAGCAGCAGCAACAGCAGCAGCAGCAGCAACAGGAGCCCCAGGATCAGCAGCAAGTGCTTTTGCAGGCGCTTCGCAACATGGGAGGATCCAACCAGCTTCTGGCGAACCTCGACCTCTCTAAAGTCTCCAGTCTGCTCTCCTCTCTGGGCGGTGGAGCTGGCGGTAAAGACATCGGCTCCTTGATCTCCTCCCTTCTCGGCTCCAACGGCAGCACGGCTCCCGGGGGTAACCTGCACCCAGGCTACGCGTCTAACACTGGCGGTGGCGGCGACATGAACAGTAACGTTTATGGTGGTAGCGGTGGTGGTAACCAGGGTAACCTCTCAGGGTCCACGGGGGGGCTACCCGGTGTGGGCATGGGGGGAGACCCCTACAATTCCAGTGGCGCTGGTCTGCACGGGTCTGCACCGGGCGTTGGCGATGGTCTAGGGCAGGGCGCGCAGCAGGACGGGCTGCAAGGCCTCTCGGGTGTGAACCTCCCCGATCTACTGCAGCAAGCAGGCGCAGTGCTCGCCCGGTCCGGAGGTCTGGGTAACCTGGGAGGTGCGGGTGGTCAGGGTTCGTCGCTTCTCACGAGGGCCATTGAGACTCTGGCGAGTCAGGGATTGCCGCTTGGTGGGGAGCAGAATTCAGGGCTTCTGGACGCCGTTGCTGGCCTGGCAGGAGGACGGCAGGGCAACTTTGGTGGCGCGGTTGGCGCTCTGGCAGGGTCGTTGCAGCAGCAAGACCAGGGAAATAATGGTGGGGGTGGAGGGATGATGGGAGGGCATCAGCAGCAACAGCAACAGCAGCAACAGCAGCAGCAGCAGCAGCAACAACAACAACAGCAGCAACAACCGCAGCAGCTGCAGCTTCCAAATGATCTGATTCAGCGATTGGCGGATAAGTTACCACCCGGTCTGAACGTGGACACACTGCAGTCTGCCCTTAGCATGTACCCGGAGCTTGGCGCAAACGGCGCCCTGTCTTCTGCGCTCAACACCCTGCTCTCAGGAGGAGGCGGTTTTAACTCAGCACCACAGCAGCAACAGCAAGTGGGGATGGTTGGAGGGGAAAACGCAGATGGATGGGGTGGGGGCGGGATGGGTGGAGGCAATGGTGGTGGGCTGGAACAGGGGATTTCGGGCATTCAAGATATTTTCTCTTCTGGAGGAGGCCAGAACTCTGTGATGGCTGCGATGCTGTCTGCTAGCAATGGAGATTTGGCAGGTGGACTGGCGGGGGCTTTTGGAGGGGATGGCAGCGGGGGGTTGCTCGGCGCTGGAGGTGACATGCCTTCAGCTTTGCAGAATATGCTCATGTCCAGGCAGCAACAACAGCAGCAGCAGTTCAAGCAGCAGCAGCAGCCGCCGCAGCAGCAGCAGCAGCAGCAGCTCCTGCAGAGTGCAGGTCTTAACACTGATTCGCTGACTGCTGCCTTGCAAAGGGCGCAGCAAGGCGGCCATGATCTCGGAGCCTTCGGGACAGTGACCAGGGATTTTTTAGGTCTTGCTCGCTCCGTATCAGCGTCTAGAAATGTGACTGAGCTGCAAGATCTGGCAGCTTTTGGTGCGACAGCAATGAATGAAGGTGCCACTGGCTAGATCAGTAGCTAGCATGAATAACTATATTATGGTGCATTTTATTTTAGTGTCAAAATGCGTATCTATTGTGCAGAGTTTTAGACGAGGGACTTCCTTCTGGTGAAAGGAAGGTGGTTCTGTAATGAACGCAGTTCAACCAGCGTCGCACATTCGTGCGCGCGGCAAATTGAGCGGCTTGGAATACTGTCTGTCTGTGATAGGTCGCTTGCGACAAACTTCCATGGCATATTCGCCGTGCGCTGTGCACGGGGGGAGGACCAAACGGATGGGTTAGGTCAGGTCAGGACTCAGGCCAGGTCAGGGCGGGGACCTCGGCAGAAGCTAGTGGTGCACATTTTCTGCGCGCACCAGAAGCGAGGGGCACATGCGCAGGGCAGCTTTGCGCGCTGAGCCGAGCTGGCGGAAATGGAGGTGCTTTTTGGCGCCAACCAGCCTCGAGGTTAGGGTCACTCTTCCGCAACCTCGATTTCGTCCTTCCGCCACCAGCCCAACGCGGAGCGATGGGCGGATTAGCTTGGAGGGGTGCGGTTGGTTCGAGAGACGGGGGAAGAGGCTCGAAATTGTGTTGCTTTTTGAGACTGGTTGAACTACCCGCCACACTACTACACCTAGCAAAAGAGCAGAGACTAGCGTGGTAATTTAGTAGTCGTGTTGTGGCTGCCAGCTGCGTGAGAGGAATGCCGGACAGGGCGTTCCGTGTTTGTGACGTCCTTGACCACTTTTAATACGGACCGCACACGCTGACGGACGTCAAGCGAGCTCATATAAACACGGTCGCCCCTTACTGAGACCCGTGCAGCTCGTCGCCATGTCTACCTCATATCGAAGGTTAAGACTTAAGCTTTGGAAACTTCCTGGACTCTTCTGGCGCTAGCTTTCGCTCCCGTTAATTTGATAAAAAACGTTCTGGTAAAAAATACATCACATTTATATTAGCCTTTAACCACCCGGTATCGTACGTTCTCGACTTATTTTCTCAGCACAGCTCACAATCGACGACAATGGGAGACACCCTAGGCGCTATAGTCGAGTACTTAGAACGAAATAAGTTCCTCTCAGCGGCAGCAGCCCTACGTTCCGAAATCTCCAACAAGAAGCAGCCGAGACCCAACACCCTTGCGTCTAGCCACTCGCTCCCACCACTCTCTCCGTCCTCCCCCTACGCAGGCTCCCCCTCCCTCCCACCTCCCGATGCCTCCGATAATGACGTCAACATGTTCCTCTGGATGAAGCACGAACAGATGTTCTCCAACTCAGCCTCGACACCAGGTTCGGGATCAGGTTCGGGCTCAGGCTCGGCAGGCGGAGGCATATTCGGTGCGGCATTCTCCGGTTCGGGGCTTTCGGGGCCGGCGGATGGCGCAGGCGGAGATGCGGGTGGGAGCGGGACTGGCGGCGGGTTCTCCGGGTTCCACCCGATCGCGCGAGGCAACAGCGCGCCGCCGCAGTTCCTTCAAAACGCCATGCTGAAATGGTCTCCGCCCAGCTCTCCCCCCGCCGGAGGTATGTTCGACCCCGCGCCAGCGGCGGAGGCCTCTAAGCCGCCGCGCGCGGGAGGCAGCGAGCACCCGTTCTCCCCGTCCTTCTTCCCCACGTCCCCCTCGCTTCCCTCCCCCGCGTCGCTCGACGTCGTTCCCGAGGAGGACGTGTTTCTGGGCGGCGAGGACGGGGAATCCGCGCCGGTGAAAGCGGAGAAGGCGGGCGGAGCAACGAGAGATGGTAAGAATAGCGGAGAGGGTAATAATGAGGGTAATGCGAGCAGTGCGGCGGCTTCTGCTACTGCGGTTATTCCGCTGCTTGACGATGGTGATGCTGTGTTCTTCGGTACGCCGGCGAAGCAGCCGCCAGTCCCGCTGCCCATCGAAGAGCCTGTTTTATTCGGCGAGGTGACTACAACGGACCCTTTCCGGGGCTCCCTAGAAGCAGCTGCGGCAGCCGCGGCCGCCGCGGCCGCCGCAGCAGCCGCCGCAACAGGCAGCGGGAAAGGCGCATTAGGTGTCTTGGACGCGGAAATGCCGCCTAAGATCGGGTCGACGCCGCGCAGCAATAGCTCCCGGCCGTATGACGTCAACAGCAGCGGCGGAGACGAGACTCCGCCCAGCGGAATGGCGAAGAGCAGCAGCGCGGGCGGAACCCCCGCGGGGGACACGGAAGCGGGAGGGTTCGGGGAAGAGCTGGACTTTTCCTGCGGGCTTGGCGGGGTCGGGGAGGCCGGGGGGGACGGGGGGAGCGGAGGGGAGAATGCATGCGCAGGCGGAGACGCTTCCCCCGGGCTGTTTGACCAGGCGTTTGTGAACTCGAGCAACAACAGCACACCGCGCGGGTCAGTGGACTTGACTGGTAGTGCGGAAGTGTTTTCTGTTGGCGATGGGGGGGGAGGAAGGGACACGCTAGGGCCCCGCCATGGGAGTACGGGCCACGGCGCATCACCATCAAAGGGGGGAGTGGGCGGAGTGGGGGGAGGCGCAGGGGCAGGCGCAGGGGCAGGAGGCGCAGCGGCGGGAGGGGCGGGAGACGCTGCGTCGGTGTTGGCAGGGTGGGGGTTGCTGTCAGCAGGGGGCAGTGGGTCATTCGGCGCGACTGGCGCTTTAAAGAGCCCTAACTCGTTCGGAGGGACCTCGCACGCTGCTAACCCTGCTGATGCTGCCAAGCCTCTCATTCGGGCTTCCTCCGTGCCTACCATCACGTTCGGACCGGTTGTTGTAGGTTCGGAGGTGGTTCCGAGCCTGAACTCCGTGCCACTGGGAACGCGCAAGCCTCGTCCGCCAATCAGCCACGCGTCCCTGCCGTCAAACCAGCAGCAGCCGCCGTTGCCGAGCCTGCAGCGGTCGCCCGGTAGCGGAAGCTCGGGCGGAGGTTCGGAGAAGAGGTTCGGCATGGGGAGGCACGGCATGAGCGGACTGAGCAGGGGAAGTCCCCCCACGAAAGCAGGAAGGGAGGCGGGAAAAGGGGGAGTATATGTTGTGGGCGGGTACTTGCTATCGTCTCTTCTAATGATTAAAGGAGCGGATGATAACGAGGATATGTATGAGGATGAGGAGGACTTAGGGTATGTGCGGCGGGCAGTGGGGAACGAGGAGCAGTTTATGTTGATAGAGGCGGACCCGGGGGATGATTTGGAGGATGCGGAGGAGGGGGAGGGCGCGACGGGCGGAAAAGGGGAAGGTGAGGGGAAAGCTGGCAGGGGGAAGGGGGAGCAGGGTAGCGCGGGGGGGGGGGAAGGGAAGGGGAGCAAGGGGAAGGAAGCAGGGAAGGGTGGGAAAGAGGGGAAGCAAAATTCGGAAGGGGGGGATGAGGAGATGTATTTTTCGGGGGAGGACTCGTATCAAGAAGCGGAGGGGGGGGAGGAAGGGGCGGAGGGCGACGGGGGAAGCGACGCGGAAGGGGATGCGGGGGGGAAAGGGCACAGGTCGGTCCCAAGCTTTGGGCTGGTGGATGCGTGGGATGGGATGTTCGACGGGCGGGGGGCGGAGGGGACGAAAGGCGCGCGCAAGGGGGGAGGAGCGGAGGGGACGGGCGCAGGCGCAGGGGCGCGGCAGAAGCGGCAGGGCGGAAAGGGGCAGCTGAGCGGGCGGGTAGAGGAGGAAGGCGAGGGCGAGGAGGAGGACGGGGAAGACGACGAGGGGGAGGAGGGGGAGTTTTACGAGGGGCAATCGGTGGGCGCGGATGCGGGGAGCTCCATGCTGGGGTCCGTGCAGGATCTGGACGAGGACTGCGCGCACCCCACCCCCACCGGCTCCCGCCCCCGCCTTGGCGTTCTCAGTGATGAGGAGGCGGAGGGGGAGGCGGAAGGGGAAGGGGAAGACGCGCTGGGCAAGGGGATGAGGGATAGGGCGGGGGGAGGTGGGGGAACGGGTGGCGGAAGCAGGTCAGGTGGGGCGGATGGGGTGGAGATAGAGATGGGGGACGGCGGGGGCGCGGGTGGGGGGGAGAAGGAGGGGGGCGCGGAGGGTCCGCGGAAGCGGCGGAGCTGGAAGGGCGGAGACGTGGGGAGTGCGTCGTTCGGGATTGTGGACGAGGTGACTGGCGCAAGGGGCACGGGCGCAGGTACAGGGCTGTTTGTGACCACCGCAGGCACAGCAGCAGGACAGGGCGGTGCTGCTGGGACCGCCAGTGCCGCTGCTGACGCTGCTGGCGGGGGCAGCGGCGGCTTTGGCGATTCCTTCTCAGGCGGATTCTCCTTCCCGTCGCCGTCCAGTGAAGGGCTTTCCAGGGAAGGTTCCGGGTGGTCGGGAGGCGGGGGGACGCCTGGGGGGGACGCGGTGAATATCAGCCCCTCGGATACTCTGGGCGGGGGAGGAAGCGGAGCGGGGCGAGGGGGAGCGGGCGGGGGCGCGGGGGAAGCGGGGCTGGCGGACGAACTGGCGAGTGGGCTGGAGCGGATGGGGAGCGTGGCGGATAGTACACTGGAGGTGTGGAAGAGGCAGGCTAGTGGCACATTCGCTAAAGTCACTGCCATGGACTGGGACCCCCCAGCTGCTGCTGGTGGTGCTGGTGGTGGTGGTGCTGCTGCTGGCACTGGGGGTGCTGGCGCGGGTGGTGCTGGCGCGGGTGGGGAGGAGAAGAGGCCGAAGAGTGGGGGAAAGAAGGAGGAAGGGGATGCAGAGACAGGCGGAAGGGGCAGTGATGACATGCAAACGGATGGTGATGTGGCTGTGAAAGGGAGTGGGGGGAGTAAGAAGGGGAAGGGGAAGGGGAAGGGGGCGAAGGGGGAGGAGGAGGGGAAGGATGGGGCGGAAAAGAAGGGGGATCAGGGCGAGGAGGAAGTGGGGGAGAAGGGGGAAGGGGAGGTGGAGGGGGCGAAGAAGGGGGCGGAGGGGGAGGAGAAGGCGGGAGGGGGTGGCGAGGAGAAGGAGGAGTTTGAGATCTTCAACCTGCGGGTCATCCACCGCAAAAACAGGTGCGTGCGTTTGTCGACAGCGCTAGCGTTTAGCGTTCATCGCTTGGCCCTTGAAGCGTGTGCGGTCACTTGGGGCATGTGAGAGGAGGAGGAGTTTGAGATCTTCAACCTGCGGGTCATCCAACGCAAGAACAGGTGCGTGCGTTTGTCGACAGCGCTAGCGTTTAGCGTTCATCGCTTGGCCCTTGAAGTGTGTGCGGTCACTTGGGGCATGTGAGAGGAGGAGGAGTTTGAGATCTTCAACCTGCGGGTCATCCACCGCAAGAACAGGTGAGCGCGGATTAGATGGCTGAAGATGGATGGTTACATTGTGCCCCACGGCCCATGCGATGTTGACAGAACGAAAAGAACCCTCTGTCCATTGCCCATATCAACCCTCTGTCCATTGCCCATATCAACCCTCTGTCCATTGCCCATATCAACCCTCTGTCCATTGCCCATATCAACCCTCTGTCCATTGCCCATATCAACCCTCTGTCCATTGCCCATATCAACCCTCTGTCCATTGCCCATATCAACCCTCTGTCCATTGCCCATATCAACCCTCTGTCCATTGCCCATATCAACCCTCTGTCCATTGCCCATATCAACCCTCTGTCCATTGCCCATATCAACCCTCTGTCCATTGCCCATATCAACCCTCTGTCCATTGCCCGTATCAACCCTCTGTCCATTGCCCATATCAACCCTCTGTCCATTGCCCATATCAACCCTCTGTCCATTGCCCATATCAACCCTCTGTCCATTGCCCATATCAACCCTCTGTCCATTGCCCATATCAACCCTCTGTCCATTGCCCATATCAACCCTCTGTCTATTGCCCATATCAACCCTCTGTCCATTGCCCATATCAACCCTCTGTCCATTGCCCATATCAACCCTCTGTCCCTCCCCTCAACCCCCACCCACCTCCCCTCCCCTTCTTCCCCCCGCATCTCGTCTCACCATCTGCCCCTCCGTAACTTCCCTCCCCCGTTAGAGCTCTGGGGATGAGATTATGTGATAATAAAGTGTTTGTGAGGCGTCTCAAAAACTCTCCATGGCTCCCCTCCCCTGCGACAGCACCAGGGATGGGATCAGCAGCGTTCAGCAGAGCCATCCGGACCCATCTGTCCATCCCCCTCCCTGAATATCTTTTTCCCCACATCCCCACCAGAACGGGGTTTGAAGAGGAAAAGGACTTCCCAGTGGTGCTCAACTCAGTGATAGCAGGGCGCTACTACGTCACAGAGTACCTGGGGTCAGCCGCCTTCAGCAAGGCCATTCAGGCGCATGACCTGCACACGGGCATGGACGTGTGCATGAAGATCATCAAGAACAACAAGGACTTCTTTGACCAGAGCTTAGATGAGATCAAGTTGTTGAAGTTCATCAATAGACATGATCCTGCGGATGAGCATCACCTGCTGCGCCTCTACGACTACTTCTACCACCGGGTGAGTGCATCAGTGAGTGAGTGTGTGTGGGTGAATGGGTGGGTGGGTGTGTGTGTGGGGGGATAAGTGGGTGGGTGAGTGTGTGTGTGTGTGTGAGAGAGACAGTGAGTTAATGTGTGTGCATGTGTCCGAAGGTATGACCCCGCGGACGAGCACCACCTGCCACCGAGTGAGTGTGCGTGCTGGAACTTGTTTATATTTTTTTTAAGAGCACTTAGGGTGTTAGCAAACAAACCTGAACAGCCAATGTGCTCTCAGTTTAATGAATAAACCTGCACATTGGCTGTCTCGCCAGTATGCACCCGAAACTGAGGCCTTCCACTTTGGCTTCTCCCTCCCCCCACACCCCCACCATCAGGAGCACCTGTTCATAATATGTGCGCTGCTGCGCGCCAATCTCTACGTGTCTCCCTCACCCTCCCCCTCTTTTGGGCGTCCCTCCCCCATCCTTACCACCCATCAGGAGCATCTGTTCATAATATGTGAGCTGCTGCGCGCCAACCTGTACGAGTTCCACAAGTACAACCGCGAGTCGGGCGGCGAGGCCTACTTCAACATGCCTCGCATCCAGGTGCGTACATGCCCAGCGAGGCATACTTCATGCAGTCGCTGGGCCTCATTCACTCACCCTGACTGTGTTTTGAGACGTCTCAAAAGGGCCTCATTCACTCACTGTGACCTGAAGAAGCCTGAGAACATCCTCATTCACTGTGGAGCTACTCACGCCACTCCTCCTCCTACACTTTCCACCCCACCCCCCGCTTCATTGCTCCCGTTCCACACCCCTCCCGCTCTCCCACGCCCTCTTGTGTGCCAGTCCATTGCCAAGCAGATCCTAGAAGCTCTGCGCTTCATGCACTCCCTCGGCCTGATCCACTGCGACCTCAAGCCCTTTCCATCCCATATCCCACTTCCCCCCTCTTCCACCCTTCCCTCTCCCAGTCCATTGCCAAGCAGATCCTAGAAGCTCTGCGCTTCATGCACTCCCTCGGCCTGATCCACTGCGACTTAAAGCCCGAGAACATCCTCATTAAGAGCTACTCGCGGTGCCTGGTGAAGGTGATTGACATCGGCAGCAGCTGTTTCACGACGGACCACCTGTGCTCGTACGTGCAGTCGCGCTCCTACCGCGCGCCTGAGGTCATCCTGGGGCTGCCCTATGGGCCCAAGATCGACATCTGGTCCCTCGGCTGCATCCTTGCTGAGCTGTGCTCTGGACAGGTGAGAAGGGGGGGAGAGGACGAGGGAGGAAAGAGACTGGAGGAGGGGAGAAAGGTTGAGGGAAAGAGCGTTAATGGGAGGTTGGGGGGGAGGGAAGTGGGAGGGAGAGCACAAAGCACCTAGACTGCTACCCGAGGTCATCCTGGGGCTGCCGTACGGGCCCAACATCGACACCTGGTCCCTCGGCTGCATCCTCGCTGAACTGTGTTCTGGACAGGTGAGAAGGGGGAGAGAGGGGAGGGAGTAAAGGGGGGAATGGGAGAGTGGGTGGAAGAGAGCTGGAAGGGGAGGGAAATGGGGGGGGGAGGGAGCAGGGGGTTGAGCAGAGAGCAGCATGACGATCACAAAGGGGAAGATCTGCTAGGGCTGCTGTGCCGGGCCTGGATGGACCATGGACATCTAGTCGCCTTGATCTTGATGCTGGAGATCAGCCCCCGCTTCAGACATGCATGAGGGGCGCGTCTGGTGGTTCGGAGTTACGCGTCCCATCCCATCCAACTCTCTTCAATACCCCACTCCGCTCGCGCCTCCCACACACACACATACTTCTCTCTCTCTCTCTCTCTCTCTCTCTCTCTCTCTCTCTCTCTCTCTCTCTCTCTCTCTCTCTCTCTCTCTCTCTCTCTCTCTCTCTCTCTCTCTCTCTCTCTCTCTTGGCCTTGGCTTGTGTGTGTGCAAGCAGGTGCTGTTTCAGAACGACTCGCTAGCAACGCTGCTGGCGCGGGTTGTGGGCATCATAGGCCCCATCGACCCGCGTCTGCTGCGCAAGGCCCGCGACCGCCACAAGTACTTCACCAAACGCAACGTGCTCTATGAACGCAACCCGGTCAGTTTGAGTGCGGTGCAGTGCAGTGCAGTGCAGTGCAGTGTATGGGGTGTGGTGTGGTACTGTGTATTATTGCGTGCTTGCATGCTGCATGCCGCTGTTAACCTCCCGCCTCCCCTCTCCCCCCATTCCCTTCCACAGGAGACAGAGCAGCTGGAGTATCTGGTCCCCAAGAAGACCTCCCTGCAGCACCGCCTGCAGGGGGGGGACGCGGGGTTTTGCAGTTTGTGGCATCGCTGCTGCAGGTGGATCCGGACAAACGCCCCACTGCCGCCCAGGCGCTCCAACACCCCTGGCTATCCCATCCCTATGACCCCATCACATGACCTTCACCGCCATGATAGCCCTGTGAAATGAGCTCACCAGAGCCTTGTGTGTTAATTGTAACCATTACACGCTTTTTGCTCTCAAAGATCGCATGTGTATCGGTTGTGACATAACTGTGTGCCATATGTAGTTGTGGCTGCTGCATGGTCTGGTTGCCAGAGTCTAGACCCATCACATCAGAGCAATTGTGAGCGTTTAGATCATGGTATGTATGTCTCAGGATGAGACTGGTCAAGGGGGTTACTCACAGAGGTATACCGTAGATAAGCACACCCGAGGCGGACATGCAAGATAGCTTTCCTCACTTCTGCTCTGTGCAGATCTTGGAACCAGCAACTTGCCTTGCGTGTGTGAGATTACAGTAGTACATGACATTCCAAACTTGTACACATACTAGTATAACGTTCTTGATCAATAGGGTAAATCAAGCAATTGGCAACACGAGTTAGTACCTACTTGCAAAACAAGTTTCACTACATATCAGCATGCCTACAGACAGAGCCCTGACCTGACCTGACCCGTGTTGTTGCCAACACAAGGCACGCACATGCAGCCTTAGCAATGAATTAATGGCACGGGTGACAGGTGTGCTTGAACAGTACACCAAGGCACAAACATGACTTGCCAGCTCATGTGCAGCGTGAGAGCATGCGGGTCACTTGCAGCAGTGCTGGCGAATCCAGGGATGTTCTGCGCGGGAAGAGAGGCAAGAGGCAAGAGGCAAGAGGCAAGAGGCAAGTGAGAAGACTGGCGGAACAGAGAGGCAAGAGTGAATGAGAAGGCCACCGGCAAGGAGGCCTGATGTAGTCAGTTGCGGCTGGTAGAGCAGCATCCAGCCCATGCCCTTTTGATATAATCACCCACCAGACCTGACCTCTTCTTCACAAAACATATCACCCACCCATCACTCAGCCTACCACTCACCCATCACCAAGCGTGCCACCCGGCCATCACCGAGCCTACCACACCACTCCCCAAACCTACCACTCCCCAAACCTACCACTCCCCAAACCTACCACTCCCAAATCCTACCTACTTCTCGGGGTCCCTCGTGAGCATCCACGCCACCAGGTTCCTTGCGAAGCGATCCACCACTCACCGACCTTACCACTCACCGACCTTACCACTCACCGACCTTACCACTCACCGACCTTACCACTCACCGAGCACTTGCAGCGTGGAAATTCGTTTCTCAGGGTCCCTCGTCAGCATCCGCGCCACCAGGTCCCTTGCCGCCCCGGACACCGCCGCCCAGCGGAAGTGGCCAAAGCGCAGCGGCTGGCGCAGCACGGCATCTTCTGTGGAGCGCCCCTCGCGTTGTGACGGCCAGAAGGGGAGCACGCCCGAGAGCATGACGAAGAGTACCACCCCCGCGCTCCACACGTCCACCAGCGGGGAGTAGCGCCCCCCTGATAGCACCTCTGGTGCCATGTACTCTGTCGTGCCCGCTGTGTGCCTGCACATGCCGTCTGGTGGGGTGAGGGGTGTTGGGTGAGGTGGCATGGGGTGGGGTGGGGTGGGGTGGGGTAGGGTGGAGATCGAGGGCGATATTTGCGGATAAGAGTACGTGCTGCTTCCGTTGTAACATATGTTGTGAGATGATGGGGGGGTCGAATGGATGAGGTGTGATAGGATGCGAGCATGGTAACAGAAAGCGCAGTACAGGATAGCGATTAGGAATGAAGGAGGTGGGGGAGGGGAGGCTGGGGAGGGAGGTGATAGGCATAGAGCTGTTGGAGAAAAATGGCACACACAAGCAAGGGATCCGGGCTTAACCGCGGTACTTTTGAGAATTCTCAAGAGAGGCTTCCCCACTCACCATGGTCAAGGAAGGCAGCCACTCCAAAGTCAATGAGCTTGATGTGCAGATCGCACTCCCCCCTGTCAAGAAACGACGCTGTGCTGCCCGTGCTCCCCACTGTGCTGCCCCCTACCGTGCTGCACCCCACTGTGGCTCCTTTCCGCACTGACCCCAGCTGATCGCCCACATCCCCGTCACCATCACCCAGCTGATCGCCATGGCTCCCCTCGCCTCCACCAGCTGTGCTCATCGCACACATGGCTCCGCTCCCCATGCTGGCCGTTCGGCGCGCGGCAGCGGAGGAGGAGGAGACGAGGAGGATGTTTTCAGGCTTGACGTCGCGGTGGACGATGCCCGTGGCGTGGCAGTGCTGCAGCGCCCCCACCAGCTGCTGCAGCAGCCGCGCTGACAAGGGCTCGGGCAGGTGCTTCCTGGCCTTCACTGCGTCGAATAGATCGCCGCCCGAACAGAGATCCATGATGAGATGGATGGACTGGCAGGAGAGATGCAGGGTGGGGGGTGGCGGTGGGAAGGTGGGGGAAATTGACGGATGGTAATTCATGGGAGTGAAAATCGAGGTGGAGATGGATTACCACCTTGATTAGCTGGGGTAAAGTACAAGAGGAGGAGTAAGTGTGCAGTGCATGGGATGCTTGCTGTGCGAGTTGTGTGAGAGTTCGCTGACTCACTTTGGGATCTCCATCACCTCACCTTGGGAATACCGCCAACTCTCCTTGGGGTCTTCAAGAACCTCCTTCAGTCCAATGATGTGCGGATGGCCCTTGAGCATGTGCAGCATCACCACCTCACCGTGGGAATCCCATTAACTGACGTTACCTTGGGATCTCCGCCCACTGACCTTGGGATCCTCCAGGACCTCCTTGAGCCCAATGATGTGCGGGTGGCCCTTGAGCATGTGCAGCATCACCACCTCCTGCCGCACATCAGCCGCGTCTTCCACGCACTGCAGCTTCTTCTTGCTGATGGACTTGCAGGCGTAGGCGCGGCGGGAGCAGCGCTCCACGCACGTGTGGATGCGGCCGAACATGCCCTCGCCTATACGCCCCCTCACCACGTGGTAGCGCCTCTGCAGTGACTCGTATGGCATGCGCAACACGCACTCCCTGAAACTGCCACTGCCATCGCCATCAGCATCGCCATTCCCACCACCACTATTACCAACATTGTCACCAACACCACTAGCAGCAACAGCAGCAGCAAAACCACCACCACCAGTGCCACCACCAGCAGCATCACCAGCAGCAGCAGCAGCAGCAGCAGCACTAGAAGCGCCCGCAGTGGAAGCAGTCACTCCTTTGGCCAGCCACACCCGCCACTCTCTCTCCGCACTCCCACCCTCTGCTACTGCCAACCCCGACCAGCTCCCCCCACCTCCCCACCCCCCTTCCTCACCCCCTTCCTCCTCCTCATCCCCCCCCTCATCCCCCCTCTCATCCTCCTCCTCCTCGTCATCATCCACATCCCACTTCCTCCCATTCCTCACACCACCAATCCCAAGCCCATTTCTCCGGGGAGAAAACCCGACTCTCGATCCCAGCCTCCCAAAGCCCGGTCTTCCTGCCCCACCCAACGCCTCACCCTCCTCACGAGGTGCAGACACATAGTCCAGGGGACTCGTGCAGGAACTAGATTTGACTCGGCTGATTTTGCTGCTCCTGTGGTCGCGTTGACTGCGTTGACTGCATTGACTGCTCTGGCTGGAGTACTTGCTGGAGCGAGCAAGGCCAGTGCGAGGGAGGGGGCCCGACAACGACCCTACGGATTGGACAGCAGCAGCACCCGCGGCAGAATCGGCAGCATCAACGTCAACGTCCGCATTGCTGGCGTCATTACTAACAAACGTAGCGTCAGCGTGAGCATGAGCATGAGCAAGGGCAGTGCGGAAGGCAGTGAGGGTGGAGGCAGAGGAGGAAGTGGAGGAGGCGAGTGAGTGGCGCAGCAGGTGGCATGACGTCAGCAAGGCCTCCATCTCCTTCTCTCTTCTCCTTCCACCACCACCGCCGCCACCCCAGGCGCCACCACCACCGCTGTTGCCTCCGTCCATGCCGATGCCAACTCCGCTGCTGCTGCTCCGGATAAGCTCGCGCCATTCCCGCCACTGCTGTCCGCCCCTGCCCAAACCCATGCTCGCATGCAACGCCCTCTGCTTCCAGGCGCCCTGACTCTCGCTATAGTCACCAACACTCTGCTCCTGATACAAGCCACCTCGCCTGCTCCCGTTCTCCACGTCTGCAGCTCCTCCCATAGACCTTCGCCGGTGCGCTGACGTGGCGTCTAACTCCTGTGCGTATGATGAACGTCGCAAGAAGGTGGCGGGATCTTTGACCAATGAGCGCTGCTGCTGCTGCTGTTGCTCCCACTGCGAATGCGTTAGCGCCTGCATCGCCAGCTGCAATGCGTGCTCTCCTCGCACTTCCCTCTGCGGCGCCACTCCCACTCGTTCCATGTGCTCCCACATATCTGTCATGCTGCCGCCCACGCGACCGCTCAGCCGCCCACCCACCTGACCAACCACCTGGCCAGTCCTCCCACCACCCACGTCGCTGTCCGCGTCAGCACGGCGCAAGTCCGCGTCAGCACGGCGCAAGTCCGCGTCAGCAGCGGGGGGGCTGTCCAGCGCATCGAGGAACGCGAGGGAGAGTTTGAGGGAGCCGAGGCCGTGCCTGCGCGCCGCGGGGGCGGGAGGAGGCGAGGGGGGAAGCTCGAGCGCGTGACTGTGCGCGTCCAGTGCGAGCGGCGGTGAGGGGGGAAGCTCGAGCGCTTGCCTACGCGCGCGTGGGGAGAGCAGCGGCGAGGGGCACAGGTACATCCCCGCTATAGCGGGCCCCTCCGTTGAGTCCGACTTCGACTTGGTGAAACGCCACGGCGCGAGGGGCATTGCGGCTGCGTCTGCTGCGGCGCTAGCTGCGCGGGGGGGCGCGCAGCTCGCGGCGCAACGCGCGGAGGGCGCACCTGCGCCGTCTCTGGGGGGAGAGCGGGGGGGCGGACGGCAGGAGGCGGTAGGGGAGTGTGCTGGCGGAAAAGCGTCCGCGCGGAGGGCTCCAGGGTAGGCAATCAGGGGGATCTCTCGGCTGCGCTCATCGTCCGCCTCCTCCCCTTCCCCCTCTCCCTCCCGCTGTCTGCCGCTGCCGCTTCTGCTGCCGATGCCGCTGCCCCCCTGCCCGCCCCACCGCCCGCTGCCGCTTTTGAGCAGCAGCCGGCGCTCGCGCGGCGTGAGGAGCGCGGGCGACGCGAGCGACGGCGGCGGGTCCATGTGGCGGCTGCTCGTCGCCTTGAGTAGCCGCCTCCCCCGCTCGCCGCCCCCTTCCGCCGCCGCGCCGTGCTCGCTCCCATACACCTGCTGCTGCTGCGGCGGGGGCTGCAGCTGCTGAGAATGATGACCCGCCAATTCCACCCGCACCGACAGCCCCGCGCTACCCCGTCGCAGCAGCAGCTCTGCTCCGCGCAGCCCTGCTCCGCGCGCCTGCCGCCCATTGCGATCCGCTGCCGCGCCCGCAGCATCGCGCGCTTCCTCTCCGCCCATTACCCTCTCCCTCGCAGCGTCGATTCCGCGGATCCCGCGGCCCGTCGGCTCCTCCCCCGCGCCCAGCGGAAGCACGTCGAACGTGCGCGACTTGCGCGGACCGCCAAGAAACCGGTTTTTCCGCGCCTCGCCGCCGCTCTTCGCGCAGCGGGAGCCGCCACCACCGTTGCCACTGCCGCTTCCGCGGGGTTCATTCACCGCGTTCACGTAACGCGATTCGATCGCGCCCCGGCGCTCTGATTCTTCTGCGGCTACTAACGCGTCTTCGCCTTGCCCAGCCCGCATCGTGCCGCTGCCGCGATCGACGGGGAAGTGCGACACGGCGTGGCTGGTGCGAGACGCTACAGTCTGCGCTAAAAGCGCATCGAAAAGCGGGGAGCCGTTGTGACCGTTGAGAGCGCCCAGCGGCGAACTCGCTTGGTCCAGCGGATCGAACGCGCGAATCGCGCCGGTGCTAATAATCCGGTGGCTGCTACTACCGCTGCCGCTGCACCTGCCACCGCCGCCGCCGCCGCTGCTGCTGCCGCTGCCGCTGCGACGCGCAGGAATTGGTTTTGCTTCGGAAACGGCGGAGAGCGCGGAGCGCGGAGAATACACCCTGGAGGAAGCGGACGGCGTGGGGGAGCTCTCGGGGGAAGGCGGTTCCGCGTAACCACCGCCCGCCGTAACCAGCACCGCAGGCCGCGGGGCGGAGTCGCGAGGCGGCGCCGGCAATCCCGAGGCGGAGGATGATACGGAGCCGTGGCGGCGGTGGAAGCGGAGAGCGGCGCTACTAAGTTGCTGGGGCGCGCCTGCTGTGGGAGGGGAGGGGGCGGAGGGATGATGGAAAGAGAATCCGCCCTTCCCCTCAAGCCCCGAAGACGACGACGATGCGCGCTTCAGCCGCCGCGCTTGCGCCAACGCCGCTGTGGCGGTGACGACCGCGAGAGGCGAGGCGGTGGCGGAAGCGGGCTCCTGCGCGAGCGGCGGGAGGTGGCGCGTGGAGCGGCGACTGCGTGCAGAGGCGGAAGAAACGCCGGCCGGCGAGGCGGAAGGGGGAGAGGGATTGGTCGGCCCGCCGGTCAAGCGACAGCTTCCGCCGAGCCGCTCACTCTCCGCAGTCAACGCGGAACTGCCACGTGGCGAGCTCCCGAGGGACCTTATCCCCCGGCCGTGAGGACTCTGTTGGGTGTTTTGAAAAGGACTAGTTTGGCACTGTTCGAGAGACGGGCTACGTGATTGTTGTAGACTGTCGAAAATCGACGGGCTAAGATACGGCTCGGACGGCGGGCTGGGAGGCGGCGAGGGGAAGACGCAGTGATAGGAGGGGGAGGAGGGGCCGGGGGGGGATGCACCCGCGCCGAATGCGGGGGAAAGAGGGTCAGCAGACGTCGAGCCGAAGCTCTCGTACGACGACCGCGACGCGCCGTCAGTCACGGTGACGTCAAAGCTTCTCGAGGGGCGCCGCGGTACGCTGAGCGGATTAGAGTGGTCGAGTTGAAGCGGGTGCGTAGAGCGTGAAAAGAGGAAGGAGGTGGATTGCGGAGAACCGGCGGGAGACGAGAGAGACGTTGGGAACGCGACCGAGACACTAGGAGGGCTTTTGCGACTGCTGCTGCTCCTGGTGCACGCGGGAGGAACGGCGACAGGCGACGCCGACCCAGAGGCAGCAGGAGAGGCCGAAGCTGATTGGGCGCGAGGGTAGTGTTCCGAAGCGGGTTCCGATGCGGCAGGCTCGGCGGGGCAGGCGGCAGAGTCTGAAATCGGCCTGCTCACGCGCCACGACTCGAACGAAGGCTCGTTGAAGCTTCTACGGCGCGACCGGCCTGCTGGAGGTCTGTAATCGGGCGCTGCGAACTGTAGCTTGGGGCCGTGTTCGGCGGAATTGACGCTGTGAATCATGTCCGCTCGCGGCGCTATAAGAATACCCATTTCGGGAGAGGGCTCGGTTGCTGTGATTGCCACCGCGACAAGTTGCGCAGCTCTTAGCGTGGATTACGGCGAGCCTAATGAGGGATTGGATGAAATGTCGTTTGCGTTCGCCATCGTCGAATGTCCGTCGTGACGACGTCTACATGCGGTCAGATCGGTTCGTAACACTTCTATCGCGTTTCTGTGTGTATTGACGGGGTGCGGTGAGGGGAGAAGGCATCAATTCCGTCACCATCCAACGTCACAGATTTTCGAAGATCCTCCAAGGTCTCGATGGGATGAATCGAGAGCGTGGATCGGAAAATATAGCTCGCTCCCATGGCTAGATTAGGTGTTTCGAAGGAGCTACAACACAGATTACGGAGAGGGTGCACAACAGAAAAGCGATGAACGCGAGCGGAAAAGGTGAATGCTGCCAAGACGTGGTCACTGGGGGAATCAAGATTGATTGCTGCTGTCTAGAGCACAGTCGAGCAAGATTGATTGCTGTACGTACAGCTGGTCACGGGTGGATGGGGATGGTGCGGGCCAGATGGGATCACAGAAGGGGAGGGATGAGTGATTCGAGCGTGCGATCCGAGGGATTGGATCGATGGCCGAGATCGTGCAGGCCGACAGCGGAGAAGGCAACTGCCCCGGAAACGACGGGATGGGATGGGAAGTTAGCAAGGACAACAGTACAGTACAGCTTGAGTTGAGAGCGTCGAAACGAAAATCTAGTGCTTTTGAAATGCTGTTGTTGGCATGTTTGTGGTGGTGGGGGGAGGATGGGTGCAGTGCATTAAATGAGATGCAACGGCGTGGCAAAAAGAACAGGCCAGAAAGCAGTTTTGAGAAACTCCGACCTTTCGTGGTGGTCAAAATGTTGTACTGTATTACACACTGTAATCTATTCCCCCACACCCGGTTGTTCCGTTTCGTTTCGGGCGATGACAGCCTCACACGCGTCGATGAGGCCCAGCAAGAACGCCCTGCTGGTGGGAAAAGAGTAGGGCAGTATGGACTGTAAACCAATAAAACAGCGTCTTATACACACTGGATGAAACTGTTACAGCACGAAGCTGCCCTAAACTCAGCGGCGCGTGTTGGAAAATGCTGCAACCTCACACGTGGCAACGCTGACAGGTCAACTCACCTCACCACACTCCCCCACGCCGAACATGAAGTGAACAGTGTCAGTCAAGGCGAACGGCGTGCTGCGACATTTTTCCCTCGTTACAACACGTGGATGTACATCGTGCACCAATGAAGTGCCGAGGAATTGATGAAGTGTACTTCGCGGTTTCGTAGCATATGGGATGTTCATACGGCGCGGCTCGGGAAAAACCCCGCCCACGCCTTGGGATGCACGGGGCGCGGAGACATCACGGGAAATGTGGGGCGAAGTCGGCCACCCAGAATTTCACCAGATTTGGCCTTAGCGCGGCCCTGCGTGGCTCAGTGAAATCCACCAGGGTTCCACCTAAAAATCCGCGCCCCCCCAAAAACCGAAAGAACCCACCTCGTTCTTACGCGCCGACGCATGCGCGACTCAGGAACAAAAGCACGGGATTGGTCGGGAACATCAACGGGCGGGACTTCCCGCGCACGCAACTGAGCGTTCGCGAACAAATGGGCCGCTACTATTGGTTGTGCTGTCTCGCAACTTGTCGCGAACATAACTCGCACAAGGAGTGGTTGGGTAAGCGCACCGCTTGATTCGGTTCGGAAACAGCTGGCGCGATCTGGTAGGCTCCATGCTGGCTGACACGTGCAGCAATTCGAACGAGCCACCCAGCTATCGCTGTGTGGTCGAGGTGCGATCGCGGTAGCGTGTCAATCACGTCCACGCGGAGGCCGGTCATTACTCCGTGCATGCCCACACTTTCACCTTTCGCTCGCCAGTTGCACACCAAGCCCACTCATGACCCACTGGATTCACCGGACTTAGACGGGGACAACTGGACACCAGTGTCGCGGTTACGGAACGTCCGCGAGGACCGCGGTCGCAGTCACACCCGAGTGTAGAAGTTGTGACCGCGCATCATGTTGACGCGCGCGGTGAATAGGAGTAGGGGCATTATCGCACGCCGCATGCATACCGTGAATCGCGTCGCGGCGCCAATACTTCACGACTCCATCAATGCTACAGGCAACACGACCGCGCAGCAACTCCATAATGCCGATCTGCATCTCGCCCCCGTGCAAGGCGTGCACGCGCACAACCCCACATGGAGCATCCCATACGTGCAGCCTGTGGTTATTGGGTCGCGGATGTCCGCGTTCCACCCACAGCAACTGGTCAACGGGCTCCACCTAGCACCGCGGTCACATATTCCTTTTGCGGTCGCGATTCAAAATCAGCAGGATGATCTGACCGCGCATGGAGTATCCGCGCCTCATCCCGGACCACAGGTTGATGGCCAACACACCGCGTCCCCGTCCGTGCCCACAAGCCAGCTCTTTGGGATGCCTGTGCGTGGCTTCGTAGGGCCGCAGAACGCGAATGTGGGATTCCGGTACGGGTACATCGGCGTTCAACCACCACCCACGGTGCACGCACCCGCGTCTGTCGCGACTCCTCCAGTCGGCCCGTCAACCCCATTCCCCAACGCGATCTATCCGGAAAGCCAGCCATCGGGGCAAGCCCCGCCAGACCCTATAGAACCATTAGTGGTCGGTGTGGATACACAGCCGCGAACAGACGGCCCATCAACGAACGCGAACTCCGCCGGGGTGAATGGTGGATCGGGAATGAATGCAAGCGCGCGTGCACATTCGCCGCCAATATGGAACGTGAACTCACTGTTGCCGGGAAACCCGGACGTCCACATCCGCACTCCCGCTCAACCGACCGCAGCGGACGCGACCGGTGTAGGTGGGCAACCACAGGCGAACGGGGGGAACTCGGGACGTAACGCGTGTGCAGGAGGAAACGCGGGAAGAGGAGGAGGGACTGATGCAAGGGGAAACGCGGGAAGGGGAAGAGGGACTGGTGCGAGAGGGAACACGGGAAGTGGGACAGGTGCGAGAGGAAGGGGTGGGAGAGCGAGCACGGGACGTGGGACCGGTGTGGGAGGGAACGGAGGTAGTGCGAACGGGCGGAGAGCGACTGGGGTGACAGGCAACGGCGGCAGAGGTAACGGTGTTAACGCGACCGGAGGTACCGCGAACGTTCCAGCCAGTAAACCGCGTATAAGGAGGCGGCGAGTCGAAGTCGTGCCGCACACTGCACGCAACGGATCGAGGGAGGGGAGCGAGGGGCAAAGCGATGAGGATGACGAGGACGACTCTGACGATGCGGACGACAGTTGGAATGACGATGACGAAAACTACCTGTCGAACTCGCTGTCCGCGCTCAACGAGGTGGAGGCGGAAGACAACGAACGGGTGCGGGGTACGCGAACGGACTTTGAGGTCCCCATCGCGGATTGGAACAGGCTTGGTGTGGACGACACGCCGGCCGCAAAAAGGGAGATGTGCATGGGCATCCTCTACGGTGTCTCAGAGGCCACGCTGAAGAAGTATCGCGGTTGGGCCAGAGAGTACAAGCTGTTCATGGCGCACGAGCTGCCGAAACTGGACGCGAGCAGGTTCGGTGAGGAAGCATCGTTGAGTAACGCGAACCCCGACGAGATCGGTGCCGCGCTCGAGCAGAACATGGGTAGTGACTGGAAGATGGCGGAGGGCGTCGAGCAGTGGTTCCACGGCCCTGAGACGAATCCGTGGCGCTTACGCAAATACGTGACCTTCCTCGCGAACGAGACGGTCGCGCAGGCGGACAGGATGGCTACACTCAAGCGGCCCGACAAGACCTTGAAGAAGAGACGCGTGCTCCCCTGCAATGCTGATGGGGCGTCTCAAGGCTCTGATTGAACCTGCTCATCAAGCTGGACGGGGCGATCTTCAGGAAGCCCGTTCTGAACCTCCTGCGCGACTTCGCGGAGTGTCGCATATGGGTCCGTGTTCAAGTACGCGACCAGTACAAGCGGTTTATCGCGTAAGTATTCGTACTCAGTGAACGCATATATCCAACAAAACCTCGTTCACTAACATGCTCACCATCTTCCAACCAATTGCGCAGGGAACACATGGATCGCCATCGGGGCACGGCCGCGGACACGTACAACCCGGACGAGTTCAAGAAGATGATGCGGAAAACCAGCATGGCCGCCATCGTGAGCAGCTTCACACTAGCCAAGCAACAGTACACGCAGGCAATGCATCGCGACCTCTGCATACGGACGATGACCGTCCTCGGTCATCACACGCTGGCCCGCGGGTGCACGATCAGAAACCTCCAGCTTCCAGACATGATGATGTGGAAGCTCGGCGCAAAATCCGAGACGGATCCAGTGCGGAATGCGTTCGCGTTTGTCTGCGCGTGCAGGACGGGCAAGACAAACAAGGACTTCTCGCTCAACTACATCTCGGCAGTGAGACACATAGATTGGACTCTGTGCGCGGTCGGAGCCACGCTGCTCTAGCTGCACTGGGTGTACGACTTGGTGCCCATCCTCTACGGGGACATAGCCCCCCCTCTCGACTTCACGGAACCCTCGACGTGGTACGACCAGTACCTCTTCTTCCCCCTTCGCGCGGGCACCGAGAAGCAGATACCGCCCACGACTCATCACGACTGGGCGGCAAAGATTTTGGGGGACGCGGGAATCACATGCTCGCGTGTGGTTCACGCGACAAGAGCTGGTGGGGCTCAGCACGCGTCCGCGGACGGAATGCCCTCTGATCAGCTGGCCAGACTGGGGGGTTGGCGCTTCATCGACGTTATGACCAAGCACTACCTCACAACTATTCCGAGGGAGGCCGTGCTCCTGAAGGCTGGCTTCACAGGGGTTGATGGTGACTACTTCCTGGGTCGCGCAACTGTTCCGGTGAGCGAGGAGCTGGAGAAGCTACTGAGGAAGCACATTTTCCCCTGGGCCGCACCGGACAAAGGACAGAAACAGGTATTTGTGGGCCGCGCACAGTACTATCAAGAGACCGCGATCATTCCACGTAACCCTCTGGCTCCGGGCTAACTACCGCGTTGTTGTGTTGCACAGTGCCATGATTACAACCGGAAGATGGTAAGCGAGGACAAGGCGGAGAAGCAGGATACCGCGGGTCTAAACATACTGAAGGCGCTGGATGGGGAGGCTAGAATGGCGGTCGCGCAAGACCTGGCCATGTATTACATCCACCAGCCGCGACACCCGTACGTGGTCAACAACCCGCTCTGCCAGACAGAGGAATTTGCGCGGTGGGCAGCAGATGTCTCCTTGGCAAATCAGCTGGCCATAGTACAGCGTAACACACCTACACTGACCCATCCCGCGGTGCGTACTGTATGGTCGCGTTAGTAATTCGGCTGTAATGTCCATGAGTACCAATCACAATATCGCGATCGCGTTCTGTATGTGCAGGAGGTCAGTACTAGAATGGACGCGCAAAACCAGGTGGCCGTCCTCACTGAGTACCTGACTCGTTCGCAAGCGGACAACACCAGGCTGGGTGTAGAGTTGGAGGCGACTCATAAACGGGTGAAAGAGCTGGAGGGTCTGTTGGAAGAACGCGACCGGGAGCTGGCCGCGAAAGACGATCGCGTGAGCAGTGAGGGCCAGTTGTCGCGTCTCACCGTGAGCAGCTCAGGGCCGACCGCGGATCCGAGTCCGGCAAGCACTCCAGGAGCCGCGGCCGCACCAAACAATGCCGCAACCCCCACCGACCCGGGAACGCGTAAGAAGCCCGCACCGCCGACCAGGGAAGAGACAATTCGGGACGCGATCATGAAGCCATGGGTCAACGCGACCAAGCCGTCGGACGGATGGAAGCTGTACAAGTCCACGCACGCGCTGGTAGGCGAGAGTCCAGAGTCGCTCCTGGCCCAACCCCGCGGTGCAGTTACGCGAATGGCCGAGCTCATTGGGAAGGAGGGAGGCGGCCAGAACGCCGCCCAGAACGCCATAAACCGTGTAAAGCGAGTCATGGACTTCATCTCGCGCAGGGTGGAGCAGGGAGACAACATCGCGGTCGTGCTCGAGAAGCTCGACCTCGTGTCAAGAACTGTCGGCATGTCGGGTGTGTCGAAAGGGATCGCGGTGAAGAAGAAGAGTGTTGACTTGAACCTGTGCGAGCTAAAGAAGGGTTCCCCGGCGGAAGTGCAGTTGCGGGTGAAATGGATGCTGGTTCGCGACCGCATGATCGATGCCTCCCTTCCCGCGTCTGAGTTTCCTGTGGCGTGGCCTCAGTATTGTGCCCAGATGCCCCCGCTAGATTAATTGGGTGGTCCTACTATGTTCGCGTTCGGAGATTAGGGTAGATTGTGTTTCAAACTGGAAAACCCTAAACCATACTGCTATATTCGCGTGTTAAGTGGTGGTGCCGTCGATGTGTGTTGTCTATACAGTGTAGTGTGGTCCCTAAACTCTAAACAAAACGCGTTTTAAGGTGGTCGCATACGCGTTCACATACTGCCCGCGTTCAAATACTGCTCTTGTGCATATTTCAGTTGGTTCGCGAACCCATCCGCGCGGTGCCTATTTGGGTGTGATGTTGGGTCAATGCCCAAGGAGGATTTAGGTCGCTACCAGGCCGCGACAGAAGCATAAGAGTTGAATTACAAAAAAGGGGAGGGAGTACACAGCATAGACAGAATGACCACCGCGAGAAAATCTCAAGCAGGGTGGGCAAGCTACCTACGCTGCCAAGAGTCTCATGCGACCACAAAAACAAAAGTCCTTATCACCTAGAGTTCACATCCTCCAAACTACCACCTTCACGCGGACCTCTTCTTCGCGGACAGCCGCTTTTCCGGCAAAGCGAGGTAGAGCCCGTTGGCCTCCATCGCCTTGGCCGCGACCTTGCAGTCGCACCAGGTCATCAGCACGTCTACTGCCTCGTGCGCGACCATAGCGACTAAGGTAGGGTCTCCAAGTCGCGCACCAAGTCGGTTCACGACCGCGGTCTCAATCTTCTCCGCGATCTGCTTCGGGGTGACCTCAGGAGCTTGCTTGCGAGCATTCTCCTTCCTGGCCCACTTGAAAACCGCGGTCACGATCGTGGCGTAACCGCGGGCCTTTTCTTCGGGCGTGCCAGCAAGCTGCGCCGCGGAGTATCCAGCATCCGCGGTTGCCTCGAGTTCGAGACCGTTGCAGGTCTCCCACACCATCGCGATGGCGCACGCGACCGCACCAGCGAACAGGCCCGCTTGGGCGCCGGTGACATCGGGCTCCTCATCAACAGCCTCCCTCCCCACCGCGGCTGCCCAAGCAATCGCGTTGCCGATCGGGGACCCGCGGCGGGTGAGGTCGCGGTAGGCCTTGAACATGTGGTGGTACCTGAATGCACGTGGTAACACGCAACATGGTTAGGCACGGGTGTGATCGCGTAAAACAAATGAGTGATCAAGTGACCGTACCTGTCAACATTGCCGCAGAGGTTGCGGAGGTGCATGGTGGTGAATAGCCCGGTGCACAATGTCCCGGCCGCGGAGATGTCCTCGGCCCACTCACTCTTCTGCTGCGCAGTCAGCTTGAGCCCGGGGTCTATTTTCTTGTCGTAACACATCACCGCTATCGCGACCAGATACTGCACCTCTTGGAGAGAGTGATGTCCGAGCCAGCGACGTCTCCCCCCCAGCCACAGTTCGCCCACCATCCCCTCCCCACCCCTGGGCGGAGGGCGGATACCACAGCCCTTGCGCTTGCCGCCTGTCCCGCTGGCGTCGCTTGGCCCCAAGAACCTCTGCATCACAAGCTCAACCTCATCGTCCGCGTCCGAGTCGTCGTCGTCGTCGCGTTCTCACTTCAAAGCGGCTGCAGGAGGCTTACAACCAATGCGGCCCTGATTCTTCGCCTTCACATCTGCAGAGGGGGGGATGGCAGGGGCGATAGAGCTGGGTCCAGGCTGTCCTGGCGCGACCGCGGCGATGTTGCCTGACGCGGGCACAATCGCGGTGGTGATGGCGGTGGTGGTGGAGGTGGTGTTTGGCGGGGCGACCTCGACCTTGGCCTTGCCTTTACCAGCTTCCACCCCCGAGGTCGCAGTCGGCTGCCCAGCAGCAGCAGCTGCCCCCCAGTTGGTCCCCGCAGCACGTTCGACGACCGCGCCACCCTTGGACTTCAGAAGGTCGGTGACGCTATAGATCGCGGCCCCTTTCTGCCGCTTCCCACCCCTGCTGCTCTCGCACTTACCCTCCCTCCTTGTCCGCGACCCTCTTCCCTGCCTCCTTGTCCGCGACCCTCTTCCCTGCCTCCTTGTCCGCGACCCTCTTCCCCGTCTCCTTCTCCGCGACCTCCTTCCCACGCGGACCATGGGGGACTTCTTGCGGTGCTGCACGCCCGGAAAGCATCGCGATGATGATGTTGAGGGAGCTCGTGACGCCACTGGTTGTGATCGCTTTCTCGGCGGTACTTGCGATGTTGGATGACGCGCCGTCGATCTTCCGTGCGACCTCGTCCGTGAGCTTCTTCTGGGCGTTCTCCATGGAGTCCACAACCACCCCCTTCATGCTCCCCGCGCAATCTTCCAACCGGACCGCAGCTCGTTTCAGCACCTCCCGCATGTCGCGATTCTCCGCCCTGTCCTTCGCGGCCAGCTTGGCTTCCCTGCGTATGACCCGGTCCGTGTTCTGCACGTGGGTTAGCACCTTCCCCACCGTGGCCTCGAGCTCTTCGTACTGCTGCGTGATCACCACCGCGAATTCAGCACCGGGCACCGCGAACGCGACCTCGTCCAGCTTGCGCTTCTGATTTTTCAGCTACTCGTCCAAGCGGAGGATCTCCGCGGCCAGCTTCTCAGGAGCCATCTTCACCAGCTCCGAGTATTTCCGCTTGCCCAAGACCGGGCTCTTGCCCGCAACCTCGCCCGATGGGGTCGCGCTGTCGTGGCGGGGGGGCAGCATAGCCTGAAGACCGCGAATAGTCTTCCCTGCACCCGCAACCGCGACCGCCGACCGACCGGCATTGTTTACCGCGATTGCCTCCACCTCCTCCTCCTCCTCCTCATCCTCTTCGTCGTCCTCTTCCTCCTCCACTTCATCTGAACCCTCCAGCTCCAGATCACTGCGCTGTTGATCCTCCGCGGCATCCTTTCCGTCGTGACCGCGACCCTGATCCTCTGCCTCGTCTGCCTCCTCTTCATTGTTGTCACCTCCACCCTGCGGCGCGTTAACAGGGGCGTCCTCGTCGCGGTCAGAGCTCGAGCCCTCTTCCTTGTCGTCCGGCTTCACCTGGTCCCCCTCCCCGGTGTTCGCGAGCGCTAGAGCTGTGTTGAGAGCGATGTTATCGCGTCCGGACACGCGGGATCCCGCGGGGTGTTCGTGCGACCTCTCACGGTCATTGCCGTGAGCATCCCCCCCATGACCGTCCGCGATCCCGCACCGAGACCTGAACGCGAGCTCTTCGGCGGTACGTTTCGCATCCTGCCGCAATGTGTTCAGCGTCCTGGCAATTGGCTTGGCGATGCGAGGAGCAGGGTCGTGTCCAACAACCGCGTCGAGGTCGTTGAGAACTCTGTCGAACGCGAACCCACATGCGAGCGGACCGCAAGGGGGCTTCCAGGAAGAAATATCCTGAAAGGAAACATGGGGGTCGGAATGTAGGGTTTGAGCCCTGCGACGTAGACCAAAGCGGCCGACTGAAACGCGACATATAAACCGCGAACATTAACAAACTCACCAGGTCTACGAGGCGCGACGACTCGCCCAGCTGCCCTGCCCGAACGCACTGGACCGATTCGCTCCCGTAGTAGAGGCAGACGCGGTCGCAAAACCACCTGCACGGTTCAAAATACGAATCTCAGGCACGGAGGAATAATAGCAACCTTGCGTAAAAGGAGCACCTATACTACGGACGTACTTGACAATCTTGTCCACCGCGGCAAGATGCTCAGCCGCGGCAGTGGGGTGACAGACGCGGACAAAGCGGGTTTTCCAGGGTGAAGTCGCGTCAAGTCCCAGGTGATCCGGTCGCAAGAGCAGCAACATGCCCGCGTTGGAGGCCTTCTTGTCACTCAATTCCCTGACACATGTTTACATGACACAAGGCGAAACGCTTCACCAGCTATCGGCGAACCCGCACGCAAAGCAGAACCAGCCTACAACAAGTCCCGATGTACTCACTCGGGCCAGATGCAGAACGCGGCCAGCTTACACCCAACCAACCCGTCAAACGCCACGTGTGCGGCCTCTGCACCAGCGACGATGTCCGCGACAACCTTAGAGGGCACCACCTTAATTGCCTCCACGAGCGACGGGGACACGCATTTCCGAACTACCACGCTGCACGTGGAACGGAAAACATCTTTAGTTATAGAAACATCGCGGACGGGGTGTCGCGAATATATGTGGAAACAATCCCGACGGAACTCTACGGTTTCGCGAGCGGAATCAAAGGGTCGAGAGAGGGCTCTGATGGATTTGTATGATGACGCAAAGGTCACGCTAACGTGGTTTACGCGACCGCGATTCCATGCATGTATATGACCTAAACCAGCCGGAATATGCCGCTATGCGACCCAAAAAAAATATGCGCCCTAAACAAGCCTGGCATCGCAAGGTAGGCTTACCAGGCTAGAAAATCGAAGGGGGTCGCGGTGAACGGATGCTTATCATCCAAGAAGCACTTCCTCTGCTCGGGGGGGAGCTCCACAGTGGCGCCAGCGATCGAGATCGTAGCAGTGTAAGTAGCGCCCTGCTCGCCACTGTTCAACAGCGCCTTCAATTCGCGACCGGCCATGGCGGGCGCAGAACGCGTGCAACTACCTACAGCGTGGTCGATGCTAGGAGCTAGGGATACCGAACGCGAACGCGAACACTCTACAGCTAAGAAAATCTCTCGCACCGAGAAGTAGACGGAGAGGACCTAGCAGGTTGACAAGAAGGGGACCAAAGTGAAAAGGGCTAAAATGAGCCCGTGAAACCCTCTTGCAAGGGCCTAATAGGGGACGGGACACATCCAGGGTGGGGCCAGCGCAAGCAACAGGCATGGGGGTGGCACTGCGCGTGGTGGGGAGGAACCCGCGGGCCCCTTCGGACGGCCCGAGATGGGGGGCGTTCCCTTTCATGCATGCGGGTGGAACCAACACCCGCCATGTAGCTCTCCTACCGCGGTCTGCATGCAAAGGGCCGACGGTTACCACCTCGGGCGGAGTGTATTCCTCGTCGCGTCCGCCAAAAAACGGGGTTACGATCTCAAACTACCACTTTTTACACTCACGAATAATACACTACACGCGTGCATAATTGTAAATCGTGTTTAATTGAACAGGCTAAACGCACCAAATGTGTCGCTTCAAGAAAGAATAACAATACACCGTATACAAAAGAAAAACAAAAACAACACAAAATTGAGGGTGTGTTTTACTTCGCAAAAAAAAAAAGCAACGACGTGAATTTCAAATTTATGGCAAACTTCACGAGAAATGCCAAACGCGTTTAAAATTCGCAGATA